CTAATTGGAAAGTGTGATATAGATAAAAAATGAATCAAGCATAAAAAAAAAGATTGAATAAAAAATTAATTTAAAACAAAAAAATGGTTTAACGCGTTCAATATACTGAACAAATTCATGGCCCCCCTTGTTAAATGGATGTGCCACATCCATGATAATGTTAGTGACATTTAAACTCACAAAATAAACACTGCGTTGCCGATGCCCTTAGTTGTTATCCTTCATTCGTTTGAGCGGTTTGATATGGAACAATTGAATGACGCGACTTATGAAGTCATCCACATTTGTTAGTCTTCATTATTGAAGTTTTATGTCTTCCTTTACGGGAGTTTAGCACAAAATAAACACTGCGTTGCCGATGCCCTTAGTTGTTATCCTTCATTCGTTGGAGCGGTTTGATATGGAACAATTGAATGACGCGACTTATGAAGTCATCCACATTTGTTAGTCTTCATTATTGAAGTTTTATGTCTTCCTTTACGGGAGTTTAGCAAATGTGCTTCTGGGTTTTCTTTTTAGCTGATATAGTAGGAATCATGTTAGGTCTAGTTTCTCATAAATTTAACTTTTTATAGATGTTGCAACATTTATACTGACAACAGTTTATCGAACAAATATAATTCATCATAATAAGCGAACTGGGTTTTTGTGTTTTGTCCTACAAGCAGAAAAGGAAGCCGCAGTAGCTGGACATGGACTGATTATGGTAAGAAAGCCATACTCCGAGCATCCGGCTCGAGCAAGACTCAAAAGAACCAAATGAGTACCTCTTTAACAAGAAGATGCAAAGGTAGGAATATCAAGTATCAACGTTAAGAGGGATTCGACAGCAGTTCGAAAGGTTGCCCTATTTGGGAATTTCTGGATCTAAAGTTCCTAACGAAACTTATTTAAATACAAGAAACTTATAAGCTAATAAAATAGTTATGATCTAACTTATTCGTCTACCAAACCTTACAGTTATGGTCTCTAGTCTCTATGTAGTTTATCTCGTTTATCTAGTGCATCTTTAATTTTTTTTTTTTTTTTTTTAAAAAAAAGCCACTCAAATTTAATTTTGTTATGTAAAAAAGTTACTGCTTGCGACCCTGTAAAATCTCATCTACCATTTAACGCGCCATTAATTTCCCTTTTTCGAGAAATACCTCTCTTTTCATTTTCCCGTCTTGTACCTTTCTTTCATTTTTCTCTCTTTTTTTCTTTTTTATTTTTTTATTTTTTTTGGTCTTTGGGATCCCCTATTTTCTTCTACCGCCAAACCCTAATTCTCGAAACATCTTCTCGATCGTCGTCCTTTTCTCCATCGGTTTTCCGATCGGAAATGCAGAATCAGAGATTGAAGCAGCAGGCTATGCTCCAGCAACAGTCGCTTTACCACCCCGGTCTCTTACCAGCCCCACAGGTTCGTTTTTTGTTGAGATGAATTAGTCTCCTTTGGCCTGCTTTGAGTGAGTTTTGTGGTGATTGTTTTTTGTGTTGTTTGTTTTTATTGGATTCTCATGGTTGAGGATTGTAGGGATGTTGGTGTTTGTGGTGCCGTCGTCTTTTTTTTTTTTTTTTAATTAATTATAAATGTCTGGATTTGAGCTATTCGTAGTTTTTTTTTGTTCACGTTCTGAGTGGTTGGCAGAGTGGAGATTATGTTTTGGTTGGTTAGTTGTGGATTGGATATTCTGATTATAAGGGTTGTGAATTTGGTGGCGTATTTTGTAGAGAGCTCGGAATGTATGTGTAGAGCTCAAACACAAAAACCAGAAATTTTCATTAATCGGAAAGAAAATGAGAGAGAGAGTTTACATATTTATACTGTTTGGAAAATAAAAGAGTGAAACATACGCTTGTCGTAACTAACTAACTAACTAACACACGTTTACTTAACACAAAGACTAGCAGCTGATTTACTAATGCCAATACCCCCTCCTCAAGCTGGACTTTGGGCGAGTGAGACCAAACCGAGCTTGGACATAAGCCAACGGAAGTGAGGTCCATCCAAGAGCTTAGTGAAAGCATCGGCTAATTGCATTTGGAAAGTCACACGAGGGAGGGAAATGAAACCCTCTCTGCACTTATCATGCACAATGTGACAGTCTATATCAAGGTGCTTCGTGCGCTCATGAAACATAGGGTTAGTCTATATGTGAATATCCGCTTGATTGTCACAATGAAGATATATAGGAAGAGCAGGAGGCACCATAAACTCAGTGCTAATATAAGACACCCATTGTAGCTTGGTTGGATAGAAATTCTCTAATGTGCACTTTGTAATTTTGTACGAGTGTAGTATGGTGCAGCCGTTTTCTGGATAATGTATCTCGGCTGGAATGTAAACAGTTGGAAGTCCTTAAAGAAAAATGTTATGGGTGTGATATATCTCTTTATTTATTTCTCAGATATCCAACTGGGTTGTTGGCTCTTACTTTTAAAGGTGTATACGAGTTGAGTGCTCAATTTTTTGCACATCTGCTGTTAAATATTTTTGTTCATTGTGTTAGCTGAGTTTTGCATCATTGAGCCATGCACATGTTGCCTACAACTTGATGGAAGCTCTTTATTGAAATAACTACCTTGATGTGGAAATTAGTAGAAGATTATCTTTCAAGTGATTGCACTTATATATATGTGAATGCATACACTGAACAAAGAACCTTCGACTCTGTTCGAAAAGAGTTTTTCCGGTTGCGCGTAATATGTGCTGAATTTCATTGTTATATTTTTTCAAAGTGATGTGTACCATAGGATTGGGTGTGCAAAGTGATCTTTACTATAGGATTGGGTGTCTCTTAATATGCATGTAATTAACTCTTAGATCTTTTTTTTTCTCCCGCTAGTTGTGTATATTTTTCATTGACAATGTACAATTTGATCGCTTTGCACTCTCTTATTTTAATTTAATTTAATTTAATTTTTTGTTGCTATCTGCATCATTCCCACACATGCTCCATCTACTTTCTCTTTCACTTCTCTCATTTTTAGTTTTCCCAATTTCTTTTCCAATTTTACCTTGGGTTGATGGTTGATCTGGGCAGAAAATTTTAGGAGGGCCTTTTCTTTTTCTTTATTTTTATTTCTTTTTCTTTTTCCCCATTTTATTGCAGATTGAGCCTTTTCCAAGTGGGAATCTTCCTCCTGGATTTGATCCAAATACATGCCGCAGTGTGTGAGTGTTTAGGTTTTTTTGTTTCTATCCTTTTCTTTTTATCCCCTTTACTGCACGCTTCCTGTAGCTTGCCTGCATCATTTAGGCTTTTAAAGGGGCTAAATGGTTAAATGTATGGCTTTGCATCATTAATTCTGCTTCATGTATAGTGCAATTTGCTAAAAATGCAGTCAACCCATGTTTGATTTAGCCCTAACGTTTCTATCATCTCCAATTCCCCGCTGGCTGTCTCATATTTGTGGTCTTGATGTCTTTGTACTTGTGTTATCATATTGTAATATCTCGAGTAGGTTCCTATTGGAACTATCCGTTTCCATTTATTTTTCATTTTAAACTTCAGGTATTTCATTAGTGAGAAAATGCAGGTATGTGGGAAATGTTCACATTCAGGTGACTGAGCCACTGCTTCAAGAAGTTTTTGTCCGTACTGGTCCTGTGGAGGCCTGCAAGCTTATAAGGAAAGAGAAGGTGCCATTAATTTTCTGAAGTGTCATTTTTCTCTTGAATAGTGTCCACAAAAGAATTTAGTTTGGTGTCTCGAGATGTTGTGAACAATGGTATTCTTGGTCTGTGCAGTCGTCCTATGGATTTATTCATTACTTTGACCGCAGATCAGCTGCACTCGCGATATTGACCCTCAATGGAAGACATTTGTAAGTACAGATTATCGTTGATTTAATTTTCATTTGCTTTGTATTATGGAATAGTGATTGATATTGTGTTTTCAGGTTTGGCCAACCAATCAAAGTTAACTGGGCTTATGCCAGTGGTCATAGGGAGGACACATCAGGTGAGTTAACTTATTTTTCATATTTTTTTTGCTTTTCTTTTTTAAGATTAACATATAATATAGAATTTTGGTAAATACAGGTCTAATTTTTAATTATCTAATTATCTTATATAGGTCACTTTAACATCTTTGTTGGAGATCTCGGCCCAGAGGTTACTGATGCCATGTTGTTTACTTGCTTCTCAGTGTATTCTAGTTGCTCGTAAGTCTCTCTCTCTCTCGGTTGCAGATTCTTCAAATTCAGTTCCAAGATGGAAAGTGACGACATTTTGTATCTTGTACTTTATCAAAGTAAATGCTCAAGTTCCACATGTTCAGTAGCTTTATTTAAGTGCTAATTGTCTCTCTTTTTGGTTTTAGTGATGCAAGGGTTATGTGGGATCAAAAGACTGGACGTTCTAGGGGGTTTGGATTTGTGTCTTTCCGGAACCAGCAGGTTTTGTTTGTCTAGCTTCTACCAGAATATTCTGAACAAGAATAACCTCAACTTACGTCGACTTTTTGGTTTTTCTTGTGCAGGAAGCTCAAAGTGCAATAAATGATTTAACCGGTGAGAACTGTTTCGATCTGTTTCGATCGTTTCTATTTCTTGTTGTGAAAAGGATTTTGTTTTGCTTTATCTGGCTGGTTTATTCATAAGAAATATGTTTTCAATGTGGCAACTTTTTAGGGAAATGGCTTGGCAGCAGACCGATTCGGTGCAACTGGGCCGCGAAAGGTGCTGGATCCAATGATGAACAGGCCAATTCAGATTCTAAAAGTGTCGTAGAGCTTACAAATGGCTCCTCGGGTCAGTAAGTTGGGAGAAAATATTGATTTAGGTGACATTAAGAATGTAATGATAGAAAAAACGAAATTAATAATTAAAAAGAAGTCAGAAAACTGTTTGTAGACTTGTAGTATAGCTGCATTAAAAGGATCGTTAAGGGGAAAAGCAGTAAGGTAACATCATACTATGGTAGACTTCAGTCAAAATAAGCTATTACTCTACTAGAACTTTTCAACCCAACAAGAATATTTTTGTTGTAGCTTACAACTGTGATTATCATTAGAACTTAGAAGCTGAAGCCGATAATAATATTTGAAAAATTAAGTTGCTATGTTCATTTTGGTTGACCTTGTAATGTTTTCTTATCTCTAAGGCTTCATGATACCTCCCTTAAAATGTCTCATACACTTGATTAATATTTTGTTGACGAATATTTTGCTTTTATTTGTCAGCACAAAGATTGAGTTTTGCTTTTTGACAGATGATGTTAAAGAGGCTGCTGGTATTGATGCTCTTGAGAATAACCCTCAATTCACCACCGTGTATGTTGGTAATCTTGCTCCAGAGGCAAGTACAAAATCCCTTTTGATTGTTTTGGAATTACAAATTTGCCCTTATGCTTGATACTGTAAACTAATAGAAATTGGATGAAAAACACAAATTTCACATTGTCTTGGTTCTCTTGAAAAACACAAGTTTCACATTGTCTTGGTCCTCTTTGCCAGGTGACCCAGGCTGACCTTCATCGCCATTTCCACGCATTTGGTGCCGGATCAATTGAGGAAGTTAGAGTTCAACGTGACAAAGGGTTTGGTTTCGTGAGGTACAGCACTCATGCAGAGGCTGCTATGGCTATTTCAATTGGAAATACTCAGTCGTACCTTTATGGCAAACCGATCAAGGTTTGTATTCTTTTCTTCTTATAGGTATACATACAATTTATTACAATTTGTTTACCAATGCATAAATTTCTTAGTTGACTACGGCATATCAAGAACTATACTTTGTATTTCCAAAACAATAATACGAAAATAGAAGAACCTTTTTGTCAAAATGAAGATATAGAGGATTTAGGGTGTGCTTGGATACAAATATATTCGCTCAAAGTGGGGTTTTCTAGCTAATCAGGGTTAATTTTGAAAAAAGTTTGTATGGTTAGTTGTTAGTGGAATTTTGAGCTTGTATTAAATTAATATTTAAAAAAATATAGTTAAAGTTGATTTGATGTAAAAGTAGGAGGGAGATGGTGTGAAATGGCAGTTAAAATTATGCGAGTGAAGTGATGGTTAGTTTAAATTATGTGAATGAGTGAATAGTGAATTGAAGTTGATGTGATGTATAAGAATGATTGATTAATATTATTTAATTATATTAAGAAAAATAAGGTTGAGTTAAATTTGAGTTTGATTTTGAGTATGGGTTGAGTTTATTTATAAACAAACACACTTAGATAACTGGAAAAATACGGAATTTCTGAAATACAAAAAAAAAAAAAAAAAAAAAAAAAAAAAGATCTCAATTAAGTGTTAAAATCAAGGAGCTATGTGGAATCTTTTTTCCTTACCAAAATGGTGAGTGAAGTGTGTGGGGACAATAAAATCTTAGGGATGATACCTTCAAGCAATCGTAGAACTAATTCAAATCGCACAAGTACGTTTTCTCAACAAAACCCGTGTATTCTTGAGGTAGATTTTGGGTTTTTATTTTTATCATCACTTAAACCCTGCGAAAAATGTCAACACACTCGTTCTTTGCACACAGTGTTTGTGGGGAAACAAGCCAACTCCACCTGGAACAACCTCAAACCCGCTCCCCCCACCGGCACCGGCTCCGGCTCCAGCTCCAGCTCCGGCTCCGGCGACCTTACCGAGGCTTTCGGCCGCCGGCCTTTTGGTTTACGAGCGGCAAGTCGCGATGAGCAAGATGGGTGGGGCCCACCACCACCTTATGCACCCACATGTACAACATACTCTGAAGCAGGCATCCATGGGGGTTTACGATGCAGGTTTCCAGAATGTAGCTGCTGCCCAGCAGTTCATGTATTATCAGTAATTTATTTTATTTTATTTTGTATTTTTTCCTTTTTCATGTGAAAACTTTGGTTATGGTCGTCTTGTGAAAAAAGCCGATTGAGTTTCTATCTTTTCTTTTCCGGTTTTGTGTATTGGGATGGTTTCTCTCGACTCTGTATGTTGCCGTCTTATATTCTGTTTCTGTCATATACTACGAGTTATTGTGGTGGCAGAGGAGACGGACAGACCGTTGTAGTGTTGATGATCCCAATTCCCGAGTAGCTGCTTAGCTGACTAAAAGTTTTCAGAGTTTTAGGATCCACAAAAGTTTTGATTGCAGTTCTCTTTATCAATTTGGTGTGTTTAAATTAATAGATTATGGTGGCGGTAGAAATGGCAAGTTGTTCGGTTAACGGAGAAGACATTGCTCTACTAACGTCGAGGAGAGGGGCAGGGCTGAACGAAAGCCACTCGGCCAAGGGTCAGTGCTGAACGAAAGCCACTCGGCCAACTAGCGAGGAGCGAAAGCCATCTATTAACCTCATAAATTGTCAATATCAATATTAAGACAAATGATTGATGTTGGATTGTCTATTCATTAGGCACTCGTAATTTCACGAAAGAATGCTTAATTCATTTATGAAATCTCATGAAAATTTATGTTATAATATAATAATTTATGAAATCTCATACTTTTATTTATGTTGTAATGATTTAAAATATGACATTTAAGTGAAGAATTATGTAATTTTCTATAAAATTTATGATTTAATTTAAAATGTGGCATTTAAATGAAGAAATGTGTATATTTATTGAAAAAGCAAAATTTGAATATTGGATTACTCGAGTTGAATTTAGAAAAGTAGGACAATTATTATTATTATTATTATTAACTATTTTTTATTAGTAAGTCGCGTAAAAAGGTCGGGTATGATTGGATATAAATTGTTCTGAATTTGGTTGGATTTATCGAATACAATAAATTAATTTTGAAAAAAGTTGATCTAATTTAGTTTTAGTAGAATTTTGGTTTGTATTTAAATAATTATTAAAATATAATGATTAAAGTTTGTATAATGTATAACTATAAGAGATGTGATTGAATTTTATATATAATTAGAATTATGTGAACTAGTACATGCCCTTGCAATGCACGAGACATAGATATTAAATGAGTTATAGATATTAAATCTATAAAAAAAACAATAGGGTTATAATATATTTTCTACATCTTTCAATGATCGTTATACATAACATTAAATATGAACATGTTAGGGCTAGCTTCTAAAATAACTAATATATTATCTATACATATTTAAATTTTTTTTATCGGTTATACATATTTATTTCTTGATATGAAAAAAAAAAATTTGACCATTTGAGTATTAAATCAACACTAATTAATTTATTAAGCAAGTAAAGATGCAAAGCAAGACAATTTAATTATCTAGCACTTTAAGGTAATATATAGTATGGGCAATGCTACATGTACAATTATAGTTTACAACATTAGTTGACAACATGGTTAAAAGTACCATTAACTTAAATCTTAACCATACATTTATTTGCATCTCAACCACCCACATTGTGCCACATCATGTTGTCGTTGAATGTTGTACAAAAAAGTTGTACAAGTAGCTTTTTCCTATATAGTTGTTTCCTTTATTAAGCATGATTTTTAAAAATAAAATAACACAGCCCCAATTAATGAGCAACATTCACGATTTTGTTGAAAACCAAAATAACAACATTCTTATTTAATGAGTAGCATTTAATGTTGCATTTTTTATTAAAAAAGAAAAAAAAAAAGTTACTAAGAATGAAATGTAATTAATGCAAAATGATTTTGACCAAAGTTTGACCTGCTATTTCTTAAAAATGATAAATCTTTTTATATATAGATAGATAGATGAATAAATTGTGAGTTACATTTCATGTGATTTCATGTGATGTGTGAATTATATAGATAATGTTGATTATAATTAAACCGAATTAAATTTGAGTTAAATTTGGACTTAAAAAAATTATCTCGATCACCCATTTTTATGTCCAATCAGGCCGTGAAAACTCATAAAAGCACCAGTTGAGCTGCTGCAACTGTACATTCTCTCTCTCTCTCTCTCGCACAAGCGCACATAGTGAGAGGAGAAAATAGAATTACAAAACACACACAATTTCTTACAGATTTACTTTTGTTTCTTCCCCATGTTGATATCCTGTACATAAAGATCAAATTTCTGCCCAAGAGTTCTTCCAAGGTATGGGGATCTCGTTTAAGGTTTCCAAATCCGGCAAGCGGTTCCACCCGAAACCGCCGCCGCCCGCCGCCGCCCCATCTCCGGTCGAAGGCGAGAAACCGGAAGACGTCGTAGCTGTGACCTCGAAGAAAAGCGATAACATCTCGTTTTCTGCACGTAGCGTGGCGGTAATTAATTGTTATGTTATCTGGAAGTTGCAATTAGCAATTATAAGGTTTAAATTTGTTTATGCAAACCTTGAATTGATCGAATTGCTTCTGAAATTTTTCGAAATATTGGTGAAATGTATCGTGGTATGTGGATTGGGGCTTCTGAATAATTGTTGATTATTGGTTAAGGAGATGCAAATGGGGAAAAGGGCTTTTCTGAAATGTTTTTGGATTGTTTATTTCTCATTCGAAGTTACAGATAAAATCGAAAATGAAGATGTGAACTCAGAATTCTACTTTCTCAATTCTGTGTTTATTGGCTAGTACAATTCTCCTGTTTTTATATATTCGTTGATTACAGGGAGAGGCTAGTGATAGCAAGGGGATTGCTGAAATCAAGGGTGAGGAATTCCTCCTGGAACGTATAGGCCAAACCCGGTTAACGTATTATGTCACTTAGCAAGTTAATATACATATAATGGGTTTATTGCTGTTCTTCTTTGTTTTCCAGAAAATGAAGTCTCGTTCTGCCTCAATCTTTTTCCTGATGGATATTCAATATCAAAGCCGATGGAGGTTTGACATTCTTCATGTGAATAATGGGATCTTTTTGGCTAAAAGTGTGAAATCTTGAGTGAGTTATGTTTGTGTACTGTTAAATTTCAGAGCGGATGTGGGCGTGAAACATCTGGGGATGTACCAAAGTTTTTACATCCTTATGACAGAGCATCCGAGACTATGTTTTCGGTAGGTTTGCGAATGCATATCTGTAATCTGTATGAATTTAGTTATTTTCATCATTTATAGCCCATTGCAGTTGACCATCTGGAAGAACCTGTACATTGTCGCAAACACAAATATGCTGGTTGATGCTAGCAAAAATTGGAAACCACGGAATTGAGATTAATACATTTGTGGAGTCTATTTTGTTCATGCATTGCTAATTCGAATGATAATCTTTCACGGACCTTTTCCATTTTGTGTTTATTACATCAGCTTTGCGTTTCGACTTTATATTATGGTAACACTAATGAAATTTAATTAAGTAACTTTGTATATTTAGAGCTGCTTTCATTGTTCCCTTTTTAGTAGAAAAATCTGCAAGTTAAGATCCATATATTACATAATCTAACATGCCTTATTGTATTGGAAGGCAATCGAGTCTGGACGGTTACCGGGAGACATTCTGGATGATATACCATGCAAATACGTCAATGGGACAGTTGTCTGCGAGGTATATTATTTGAATTGATATTGATACTCAAGTCACAATATTTAGAAGCAATGCTTTGTGTCAACTGGAATCACTTAACTTATGATTTTGTGACGCTGTAATGAAATGGAACAAAAGAAGTATGAGGATTTCTGATCTGTCATATTATTAGTTCAATATCCTGGTCAAGATACACTGGAAGCCTATTTTAATTGCTTTTCGTCCTTCTTTTGTCAATTAATAATTTTGATTCACTCCTCTGCTTAAATATAATGTCCACATTAGCTGATTGATAAATGGGTTTAATAAAAAATGCATCGAGGATAGTGTCTAATTCTGTTTTTTATAAAATTCACACTTCAGGTTCGAGATTACCGGGAGTCCTCGTCTGACGGACTTAATGCGGCTTCGGGTAATAGATCACCTGTCGTTACCAGAGTTCGTCTAAGAATGTCACTGGAAAACATAGTGAAGGATATCCCAGCTATTTCAGAAAGTGATTGGACATATGGTGATCTGATGGTAAGTGGTCCTCTTGTCTCTATTATACCCTATTATGACATTTCTTACCAAGGTTATTCTCATTTGGATGAAGGAAGTGGAATCCAGGATCTTAAAGGCCCTGCAACCTCAACTTAGTCTGGATCCTACTCCACAGCTGGACAAACTATCTGACTTCCCAGGTCCTAGCAAGGTATAAGAATCTTTGTTTCATTGTTAAAATAATGTTGGATGATTATAATAATATCCCGTTGTTTAGTCTAACCGCAGAAAAAATTTGTTCCCGTGCAAATTCCCCGCTGAGCTTTGTCTTTGTTATACAATTTGGCCTTTATTAGGAATGTTATGAAACTGGTAAAAGAAAATCCTGGGATTGTGTGTAAAATCTTATGGTGATAATTTGTAATTCGAAAGATGATTCCGCAGTTAGGCTGAACTCAGGGTATTTACGGTATCAATATCCTTATGATTTATAATGGTAAAGATTTCATGGTTCTGAGTTTTGATCTTCCATCCTTTTATTTTTTTTTCAGTTAAACTTCGACCTACGCAGCATGAGAAGGAAAAGACTTATGCAGATTCCAGATATTGCTGTAACATCAAATAATATGCACGGGAAAAAAATATGTCTAGAGAGAGCCCCAGAGAGCTCAAGGTTGGGAGACCCGGGATCTCTCTCACAGCAAACCGCGTATGAGAACTCGAACATCCAAAATCCAAACACGATGCTTCCAGTAAGGAACAACAGCTTTGGACCTGACGGCTCCCTCCTAACACCATCTGCGGTACCCCACCTGTCAAAATACTCAAGCGGGCTTTCCAGCCCCCGAATGATGAAGGATCAGCGATTATCTTCCCCTGGCGGACAAGATGTGATGATACCATTCTCCGATAACTCTGCCTCTTCAATTCACGGAAAGAGAGAGAATCAAGACGGCCAATCATCTCCTCTTATGAACAAGAAGGCGCGGCCTGATGGGAATCTACAACACGTGGGACCACAAATGGACGGCTTGCACGGATCTGAGTCACAATGGAAGAACACATTAATGCAACAACAGTCGATTGGGAGAGGAATTCATCAGTACCCCAACAGCAACATGCAGAAATTCTCTCAGCAGGCGTTTGAAGGAGGCATGAATCAGGAAGGCGGACCCACACAGTTCAATATCGGGCAGCAGCAGGGAATCAGATACAACTTGAAAGAAGAACCGGTCGAGACAGAGAGATTGGACAGACAGGATTCGGACTTGACAGGTCTGGACCCACGGCTGCAACAGAGGATGCCAGCTCAGTTCATGAGACCGGGTTTTCCTCAGGCCCAGTGGAACAATTTGGGCCAGGCCCTTGATATTAGTAATAATCCAAGGAAGGAGGACTCATACCAGAAGAGGAAGTTTGTTCAGAGTCCCCACGTTTCGGCTGGAGGCTTGCCTCAGTCTCCGCTTTCATCGAGATCTGGGGAATTTTCCAGCGGTTCGCATCAATTTGGAGCCGCTGTAAGTAGCGGACACGTTCAGAAGGAAAAATCTGTGGTCAGTGGTAGTGATCCCATGCAGCGGCAGAACCAGGTGCAGGCAGTGGCTAAACGGAGATCTAATTCTCTTCCGAAAACGCCTGCTGGGGTTGGTTCTCCAGCTAGTGTGAGCACTATGAGTGTACCCATAATCACAAGCAGCCCTTCTGTTGGGTCTCAGGCATTGGGTGATCATCAGTCCATGCTTGAGAGGTTCTCGAAGATAGAAGTGGTGACCATGAGGTATTTCAGTCACTTGGCCATGCTTGGGTCTCAGGCACTTGGCCATGTTTCTTTACCACTCTTTTCCCTCAAGAAATTACTTTTTGTTTATCTGTCCTAATTGATAAGTCTAATATCATTTGGTTGGTTTTATTGGGAGCAAGCACTAGACTACGAAGCATTCCATTTTTTTTATCATGTTTTTTTCAGACAATGAATGTCACTATATTGGTTTCTTGATCTTTTAACAGTTAGAATTGTCTGGATAGATTATGTTGTAATTTACAAAGGAATGTTTTCTTCTTTAGTGTGGGGAGCAGTGTAATATTTATTTTCTTTTTATTTCTTACATATGTTGCTTCTTCCTGTTTCAGGTGCCAGCTTAACTGCAAAAAGAACAAGGTTGACGAGTATCCCATGAGGAGGAAGCCCAATGTGTATTCTGCTCAGGATCTGATGACCCATCTCTCCAGTGATGTAAACAATGAGATTTTGAAGGATGAGACATATAAGTTGTCCAAGTCCCTGGTTGCTGGCAGCATGAACTCTTGCAAAACCAGGATCTTGAACTTTGTCCAGACAGAGCGTATCATCCAAGGTGTGTAGATCCAAATTCATACAATAATACTATTTGGTTAGTTATATTTTGCAAATTGCCTCGTCAGAGGGGAGTGTCTATTAAGTAAACATTGTGTGTGTGTGTGTGTGTGTGTGTGTTTCACTTGTGTAACAAAACTAGAGTTTTAGGTGTAATTTTGTTTATGATTTTTTCTGTCGGTATCTGTCAGGTAATAGCTTCCAGTTAGTGACAAAGGCAAGAACGAGGATGATCATGTCAGAGAAACCAAATGATGGTAACGTGGCATTTCATATTGGAGAAATAGAGGAGACTGAATACTTGGCTGCAGAGGACTACCTTCCAACGCTGCCAAATGCTGTGAGTTGGCAAATGCATTTAGTCATATAAATGATATAATTGTACAGATTTTGTTTGGTAGAACTTACTTTCAAGAATGCTTAAATAGTACACTTTTCAATCTTGCTAAAACCCTACTTCTCCTCCCTTTCTTGTTCTATAAGGTATAATGAAAGTCGGCCTTGCTATGGTGTTCAGTAAACTAACCCATTTTTTCCCTGTAATCAATCAAACGTCTATCAAATGTGTCATGTGAACAATTAGTTATTTTGAGTGCTCTCTCTATCTCGAAGAAGCCTTTACCTTTCTCCTCAAAGTCTAGAACGTTTAGGACAACAAGAATGAGAGGAAGTGAAAAGTTACACAATACTTACTGTCCGTTGTGTTGCTTATGGCTCTCTTATTGTTTCTTGGAGCATATGGCATCGTTTAATCAAGGATTGTTTTCTGTTTTAATTTATTGATATGCTAATCAAGGTAAACCCTAGCTTGTTTGCATTTGACTGATTGTCCTGATTTTTCCTCTTTTCCACTGCTGATATCTTCCTGTATACAGCGATTTGTTATGCTCAAAATGGGACCATTGAAAATTACATGTTGATTTTTTTTTTCTTCTTCTGTTTTTTAATGTATACAAATGCTTTTCTGCTTTCTGATCAATACGACTCAACACGTGCAGCACATTGCCGACCTAGTTGCAGCACAGTTCAGCTCATTGGTACTCTACTCCACTACCCATCTTTTGACACGAATTCCTCTAAAGCTTTTCTATAAATTTCATTTTCCCCTAAATTTAGTATAATCATACACCTGTCCAATACTTTGGCAACAGATGGCACGCGATGGGTATGACGTGGATGATCGTCTTCAACCGAAAGCTGCCCGTATAAACCCTGCCACCCCCTCGTCCGAGACGCAGCAGTTTTCTGAAGGTGGCGGGCCCGCTCAGCCGCAGCCCAACGATGCGGCCAGGCCCGGTGGATCAACTGGCAATCCACTGCTAAACTCGCCGCACAACGTGCAAACTCAAAGGATGCTACCCCAAGGAAATAATAACAATCAAGCGATCCAAATGTCTCAAGGACTGTTACAAGGAGTCTCGAATATGCCTTCTCGACCGATTCAAGGTCCCGAGCAGCAGCAGCAGATGCCAGCTCAGCAGTCCCAATTTCAAAGATCCCCCATGAATATGCTCCCGTCCAGCTCGATGACGAGCATGCATCAGCTGGCCGGGGGCCCACTCATGGGGAACAATAAACACTCGTCCCTTCAACTCCAGCTCTTGCAACAGCAGCAGCAGAGGAAAATGATGGCTACTAGCATGGGGAATGTCGGCATGGGCAATATCGGAAATAGCAATAATAATAGTACGAACAATATGGTCGGGCTTGGAGGTTTAGGTGGCTTGATCGGGGGCTCGAGGGGGGGTGTGAGCGGCGGGAGTCGGGTGCCGTCGGGCATTGGTAATGTTAACCTGAGCTCGGCTGCAAACATCACCAACGCTATCAGAAATGGGACCCTCACGCCCGAGCAGGCCACGCTGATGAAGCTGAGGCTGCAGCAGAATCGGGCTGGCATGGGTATGGGTAGTATGGGTATGGGCATGGGGATGGGCATGGGCATGGGCATGGGCATGAACATGAACACGAATGTGGGCCTGAACATGCTTGGGGGATCTCAGTCGGGCCTTGCAGGAGGAGGGGCGGCGGCCCGACAGATGCACTCGATAGGATCCTCTGGCCTGTCCATGTTGGGGCCCGCACTGGCCCGGGCCGGGATCGGCCAGATGCAGCAGCAGCGGACGCCAATGGGCCAGATGGGCCCGCCGAAGCTTGTGCCGGCGGGAGTCAACCCTTACATGAACCAACAACAGCAGCAAATGTATTTACAACAACAATTGCAATTGCAACAGCAGCAACAACAACAGCAACAAATGCAACCGCAAGAAACGAACTCTCCACTGCAGGCAGTTGTTTCGCCTCCGCAAGTGGGCTCACCATCGGGCCACCAGTTGGGCCAGCAGCAACAGCAGGCGGCAAGCCCACAACAAAGAACACCTATGAGCCCACAACTGAGCTCGGGGGCCAATGCCATGCACCAGATGGTGGGGGCCAACCCAGATGTCGGCCCTGGCCCAGCAAGCCCGCAGTTGAGTTCGCAGACTATGGGCTCGGTTGGTAGCATTGCAAACTCCCCAATGGACATGCCAGGCGTGAATAAAAGCAACTCTTAGTGATTTATTGGAAAGTGGGGTGGCGTAAACATCGTACTTGTAGGAAATTCCTTTGTCCAGGATCCAACTTTATGCTTGTAATGTAATACACAACTGTTATAATTAGTTGCCTAATGACTATTTGGTGAAAGAAACCAAAGCAACTCCACTCCACCAAATGTTATATTTTCATCATTTGAGCTGTATAAAGTTGATGCATTTGATGCAGTTGAGTTTGTTTTGCTTATCTATCTTGTCAAATAATCCCTCTTTCTCCAATCACTTAATCAGTAATGAGGTGCTGTGAACCGAACAAGATGATCAACATGGTTTTACTAAAGAGAGGACCCCTGTTGCTGTACGAAGCAGTCGAGTGAGCAAACACACTGATTAAAGCAACATAGCTCGGAAATTGAAGTCTGTCGTAGATGCATTCGTCTATCGAGCAATCACGTACAACACTTTATGCAAATAAATGTTTACATATTTTTAACACAGGTAACTTTCGGGTGCATTCAAATTACATGATCGGACAAGGCACACTTCCATGCATCAGATTATTGCAACTAACCCTAACTATCAAAACCTCCGAATTCTGTACCTAATGTACTCATTTATCTGTACATATAGCAGTCTGGGAATCAAGCCGTTGATTGGATTTGAGTCTTAATCATGAAACGAGACAAAGTGTACTAAATTTTGCAATAGGGTTTGGTCTGCACATGGCTTCTAGATATGTCCTTCACCTTGCAACATCCGGCCATTGCCATTGTTTGCTCAAGCTCATCTTTCAACACCTCAATCACTTGTCTGATCCCGTTTTGTCCCTTTGCCGACAAGCCGTAGATGACTGGCCGTCCAATCTTCACAATCGAAGGAAATAGTATGGATTGCCGAAAAAAAAAGAAAACAATTGTAGATTCGTTACCGAACAATATATTGCGATAATGCATTACAGTTTGATTTAGTTTTACCATAACAGCTTGTGCACCAAGAGCCAATGCCTTGAATATATCTGAACCGCATCTCACCCCTCCATCGCAAATAACCGGAATCTTTCCTTTCACTGCAAGCACCACCTAGGAGAAGATAAAAGAGTTTTCAAGATCATATGGTGACATAAGCTCATTTCCGAGTCAAGCTCGAAATTACAAATATTATCTCCAGAAGATAACCTCAATTTGAAAGATAAACTGGGTTGATTTTGTAATAAGATTAAATTTCAGTGGCACTTTTGCAATAAGGTTAAGAACTACACAACCTCTTCTAGAACAGTTATTGTGGCCGGAGTATAGTCTAGCTGACGAGCTCCATGATTCGAAACAACAATACCATCAACACCTGCTTTCAAGGCTTTTATCGCTGCATACAAAACAGCGTTGCAAAAAAGTTGAGTGCCATAAAACACTAATGGAGCTTCGTGTCCATGACCATATTTTCCTCTACAAAAGGTCATAACCATGAGTGCAATGCGTGCATCTTACCATCTTCTTGTGTAAGAATCCCCTTAACCAATATCGGCAAATTTGTAATGGATTTCAACCATCCTATGACCTACAAAAGGTATTGCAACTAAACATATTTCTAGTGAAAATGCATAATGATCATAAATGCTAAAAAGATGTCTTTATTTTTATTATTTTTTTATTTTTAAATAATGTAATGGACCTACAACTGTATGATCAGTCACATACACTTACAAAAGTCAACTTAGAAGTATTTTTTCGAGCCATATTAGTGCCTAGGAATGAATTTAGTTACTAGTTCATACCTTCCAACATAATGAATCATCCAACATCTTAGATGCTAAGGCTTCAATGCCAGAGCCCTTATCCTGGTACATAAACAGATAATAAGTAACTATTACTGCATAAAAGCAAAACTTACTATCGGCAATGAAGATGCTTATCTTGAAACTTAAAGAAAATAAAACAAAAAGAAAAAAGAAAACTTTACTCACAGTGACGACTTCAGTTGAAATGAGCCCTTCAAAATTCTTCAGCTGAGGAGCAATCATCCTACAAAAGGATTATGGATGATTAGGCACAGTACAGCAAGATTGCATAATTGTTAAGGTTAATTAATTAAACAACCCCACAACACCTGATGTTTAGTCTCATTTAAAAAAGGGTGTTTACTCTCACAATAGAAATACCCCTAGTGACCTTGAGAGAGTGTAACTGATAAATTTAGAATGCTTTTTTTTTTTTTTTTTTTTTTTTTTTTTTTTTTTAAAAATCTTGAAAGATAATTGGAGTCTTTTTTTTTGTAATTAGCTAAAAGTAGGGGTTTCTTTTGTCACTATCCGTAAAAATGTGGATAATGGAAGCTGGAACAGTAATTGCAGATAGAAATAAGCCAAGTATGATAAAAATTCACTTGTTTTTAATGTCAGCCTCTCTTCGTCCAAGCCTTGGAGTATCAACAGTAAGCATTATAGCCTTAAATCCATTCCTTTCAGCCCTTTGCACCATTAGAGCTGATATATCACGCCTTCTGTACACCTGATCGATTAATTGGAGAACAAAACCAACATGGACTCACTCTTCAAACTAGAATAAATTTCGACCATTACATGAAAATAACTTAAGATTTATCACGAGAGATTTATATTTGATTACGTATAACTGGAAGAACCGAACTGCATTGCAGCTTGAAGCAACTTCTTCGATTGTGCAAGTTGAATTATAGGATAACACCTGCGCAGTGGGAGATGGTTATATCTTAGCATATTAAGACTCTAAAAACAAATATTCTGATGAAATATTTGAGATCAGTACCATTATGACATTTGAGGAGGCCGAGGCTCTGGCTGTTGCGACTTCCCCTGGTGAAAGATTTAAAAAAGGGATAATCAAAATATCATTCATGAAATTTATCATATTTATAAAACAGGAAAAGAAAAAAAAAATCTACACATTCTGAACTTTGGTAGAATATTCAAACTCCGACTGATCGGACATTGCAAGGTGAAGAATCTGTATGGCCCATGTTATTATTAGTTGCAAGGAAATCCAGTTTTAGGTTGCAAAAAGAGGCTAAGGTTCAGTTTGCGAGAAATGTCTTTTATATTAGCCAAAAAAAAAAAGAAAAAGGGAATTATCATTCAATATTAACATGTTTTATGCAGGCTAACCTTCAGGATGAGCCAATTTGTGCATGGCTGTTGGGGCAACAATGATTGGTGCCGAGGTCTTATATCCCATAACTGTTGTGGACATATCGATTCTTCTTATACCCGTCAAAATTCTAGGACGGATACTGAAGGAAAAGGGAAAAAATGGCATGTTAACACATGGTTATTCGAACGCCTGGGTACCAACCGAAACATTCAAGTTCAAAACTTGCATGATATTATGAAATGCTTTCACGTTTTCTCTGAGCGTGTGCTGGTCTTCAGCTCCCCCTGCATAGAAGTCATAGTACATCTTGGGAAGGGCTTGCCTGGTGAGTTCTTGAAACTCATTTATAATATCTTTGGCCGCCATTTTAGACTGCGAAAAACACCAAGTGCTCGATAACTATTTCCAACATACAACTCTTTTATAGAAACTGTCCTAATCTTTTCCCTTTCCGACATCAATGCTCGGTTGAAAACACGAAATCCCATTTTGGGTTTTACAACAATTAACAAGGGAAACATATCTATCTGTGATTACCAGTAAGTGGGAACAAAAAATAACTCAGAAAAGTTCACTCCTTTGAAGTGAACTAATCAAGAATTTCAATTCTTTAATATCAGCAGCAACTGAAGATGACAAAAGTTCACACCTTCGAAGCCAACTAATCAAGATTTTCAAACTCGGCCCCATTTTACCGGTGAAAACAGTGAATATATATAAATAAGCAATCAGATTGGCTTTCAACACTTAAATCAAAGATAAAAACTGAAACAAAATAATTAATAAATACAAATAAAATGCTTTAAGAATGAACGCGAAGCTATGCAACAGCAAAACATATCAACAATGGCAGACCTAGTTCAAAAGCAATACATGTTCAGACAAATAAAAGGGATACATATGAACAAAAGACAAGAACTTTACCTGAAAATATTGATTATATTATACACCAGAAATCTGCAAGCGACGTTTTAAGGCAAGAGAATTTCGATTGAGCAAAGATAGAGAAGCTGCTCAGTTCAAAGGGCATTTGTGAAGAAGAAGGCTACTTTGGTCAATTCAGTGGAAAATTTCTGTTTACTGAAAATGACTACTTATATTTCCAAGTAATAATAGCTGATAATTTAAAATTTATATAAATTATATGAAACAGTAAAAAATGAAAAATGATTCCCATATTATATTAATGACATTAAATGAATATGTTAATTGACCAAAATACCCTTTAATACCAGCTATTTTTAACAAAAATACGACTTCTCATATGGTTTTGAAGGTAATAAAAGGGAAATGCTACGGTTCCGTTACGGAACCATTCCGTTAGGGTTTGTAACCGTTAGATCAACTATCCCCGACAGTTACATGATGATCTAACAGTTACAAACTCCGACAGAATGGTTTCGAGACGGTAGCATCTCCCAAAATAGAAATAGTTGATATGATAAGTTGAAAAAAGGGGAGGATATTTTATTCAGCCTTAATTGAATACACCCTCTTGTAACTTGGTTTTGGGGAATACAGACCAGCAAGAATACAATATCATGTTATAATTCTGTTGCATTTTTAATTGAGGTATTGGTGAGATAGTTTTTATTTATTATATAATGGGATAAAATTACAAGAAGCTAAAGCTTGAGGAAAATTATATACATAAGCCCCTCATTATAAAATATCATCAAGTCCTACTAATAAATGTGAATTTTGTCAACAGACAGCAAAATTAATGTAAACAAAGAGAATTCAACTGCATTCTAAAGTAAATTGCAGTACAAGTTATTACAGTGCTAATTGTAACTTGGGTTATTTGCAAAAGAACCCTCAAGGTTAAGTGAAACTACATAAAGATGTACCACCCTTCAACATGGAAACATTTTGTTAAGGAAATATGAATCTCAACTGTTCTTTCTTTCATCATAATTAAACAAGCAAGAGATAAAATGAGAGAAAAGGAAAAAAAGAGTAGCCACTTCTTGCTTTTGGCTCCAAAATCATATTCTCAGAGAACGAGAAAGAACTAAAAAAAGCCCACGAGTCATAACAACTTCACGATGTATTTGAAGCCGATCCATGCAAATTCCTGCACTTATCTCCAAAGTGGCATCTTCCTTGAGCATAATACCGGCACGCCTGCTTTTGCTCGTGAACAAGCCCATGTGACGAGCTCCTCATGGGCCCGCGTGCCTGATTTTCTTTATATGGAAGCTTCTTCTTTGTTGAGCTCACGAAATTATTCAAATTTGAAAAATGGCTCTGATGATTCCTCACGATAGAATCAATATAGTTTTGTTGACTGTAAAGGTTACTGGAGTTCGGAAAAACAAAGTTAATACCGTACAGAGGTTGTCTTTGAGGAATATATTGTGGCAGTATGGGTGCATTCGGGATAAATTTAGGCTTCGCATTCGTATAATTTGGCTGGATGGTTTTTTCATGCTTTATGGGTAGAGAATGCAGTAAAGGGCCAGTTTTTGCTATTTCCTGTTTTGCTTTTGGGTGCTCTTCTCGTGTTGACCTGATGTACAAGATAAGCATTATTATCACCAAATGACGAAACCTTTGACTAATGAGGGAAAGAAAGAAAGAAAGAAAAACGGAACAATCATACATTCTTTGATAATATTTTTACTACTAAATGTTCGTTATCGCATAATAACCCTTTCATGTTGTTCATGCTCATCCTCGATTAATAATTGGGCTTTTCTGTAATTAGGTAAAACATTGGGGTAGTTCTTGAAGTTACGGTTATCCATTAAAGTGCGTTTTGTTTCACTAAGAGATCTCTTGATGATACCTCGTCAGCTTGTGAACTTTTCTCATTTCCTTCTTTTGTATGCGTGCCTCTCGATCCAAACGAGCAGCACCACCTCTAGCATGCTTTTCGGACAGCATTTTCTGCCTTTCGCCTTCATCTTCCCATTTCTGGATGCATGACAGTTAAATATTGAATATTTTATATTATTAGACAAAAAATGATTCGATTTGAAACAAGATAAAAACTTAAAAACAAACCCGTCTCATGGTTTTCAATCTATAGAGGTTCCTGCCTTTGATAAGTAGAGGGTGAAGTGGGTTCAGTGGTTTCTCTCCTTTACTCCACAACACTTCAATCTGCTTAGAGTCGAGCCAATAGAACAAAAAATCAATTGCAAAATGCCAAAAAAAAAAAGAAGAAAAAAAATCGGCTTGTTCTCTTGTTTGACTTACAGGAAAAATAAACAAGACAAAATATTTTCTACCGATGCTCAAGGCGTCTCTCATCTCTATAAGAAAAAATATGATGCACTAGAACTCGAATCCATGGTGTGAACAGATTGAAAAATAAGATCTTGTTTTTCTTGTTTTTTTCTCTTGTTTCTATATTTTTCCTCTCACCGTGAATGTGTGTTGCTGCTTGGCGGCCCCATAACTCTCCTTCACAATACGGCCGGCAACAATCCTCGTGCCACAAGGAGGACCATTCGCACTACGAGATGCAATACTGAACCTGATGAGCCATCAAAAGCCAGCTCCACTAAGTGTCACATTCAATGCTAAGTTTCTAAGATTTGAAAGGTTTATTTTATTCTTGCGGCTAACTTTATTAACGGGGCAAGTAATTTCAAGTTCAAACGGCTGTATGTTTTTATCAATTTGCAGTATTTACTAAATATCTTGCATCAACTGTAACATGAAAACAAGGTAGACATTTTTCGGTGGGAGGCTTACGCTTCATACACGTTCTGTTCAAACATGACAACATCTCCCGTGCAAGCATCGCCTGCGTAGTTTAAAGCTCAAATGAGACGTGACAAGACGAGTCACAACATAGAAACAAAGTACTATGATCCGAACCAAAACCTTAATAAGATCATTTGAGGAACAACTACATTATTCATTCTTTGACATCCAACTATACTTTTTTGAATAAATAATCACTATAAGCTCATATAAGAAGCCACAAAATGAGTAACACTCCGGAAAACTCGAAGCAAATAACCAATTACCTTTGCAATTCAACACGAAACTCGATGGCGGATACTTTTTCTCCCCGCCTCCATCGACAATCCTGAAATGCGACTAAATTCATAAACAGACAATCGAAACAAAACATCGATTTCAACTAAAAGAGGGAATGAAATTATTACTCAATGTGCTCCTTAATCCTCAGAATTAAAGTTTCCTTGTTGCCACCCAATCTCAATCCATGTTTTCTTAAGTAAATCTTGCATTGCTCCACTTTCAGTCTCTCCACCCCACCATCTGTCGTAATCGCAAAACAGCAAGAATCGAATCGGAGTATAAAATTTTGCTAAAATCACAATCACAAACCCAAAAGTTCGTCCTTTTAGTAAAAAAAACTAACAAGAACCTTCAATAACTTTCCGAATCGTTTCGTAACTTTTTCTGTCCTCCTCATTAAGTTCAGGAATAACTGCTTCAACCACTCCTGGACCTTCGTCTTCTTCATCATTAGTTCCCTTTACAATACTAAGAAACAAGCCATGACCAGAATCAGATGTCACTAATACGAATGATGATTAGATAACTACAATTAAATTGACACACACACACACACACACACACATACACACACACACACAAAAAAACACAAACACCAACACAAACACAAAAAGCACTTAATCTCCACACACTTATTGACAATCTTCACATAGAAGAAAGATACTAAAATCGAACCCAAATGAATATTTGAGTATGAAAACAGAGAGATGAAAATCAGGGGCAGGTTCTTGAATAAAAATGAATTTGATTTACCCGGTTTTGGTTTTCTTCTTTAGCGAGAGATTTGAGAAAGATAGCCGGGTCTCATCAAGAACATCGAAACTCGGGTCGTCGTGCAAATCGTCGGAATAAACGGAATCACCTTCAGATTCCTCATAAAATTCATTTTCAGGCGAACCCATTTTCGTATACAGAGTCTTGAGACAGTTTCAGAGGAAAGAGAGCTTATTGTGTGTGAGAAGCCAGTGAATGGGATTCCACTTTTTCTTGGTTTTAACTTTTATATAAGTTTCAAAATAATGTTACCGTTGGAAAAAGAAAAAAAGAAAAAAAAAATGGTTTTGGGCCTTCTTGTAATTTGAAAATATCTGAATTGGGCTTCAATTTTTCCGTATTGGAAAATTAGGAAAACTCATTAAAAAAAAAAAGAAATGGTTACCATGGATATTAGATACTGTTGTGAAATATTTATAAAATAATGTATGTGAATGACTATTTTGTCCCTGATATAATTATATTATTATGGTTGTGCCATCAGAAGCTTCCTATAAATAGGAGTTTCAGTTATAATGAAAATTGTACCTAAGAGAAACATTTTCTCTATTCTCTCTATTTTCTCTAGTTTTATAACACGTTATCAGCACGAATCTCTGCCCCCTAGAGCTCGATTTGTAAGCACGAGTCTCTGCCCCCTAGAGCTCGATTTGTAATATGACGAGAGTATGCTCTACGGTTGCATCTTAGAGATGATCCTCCGTATCAGAAATCCAATTGTTACAAAGTGTTATTCGTGAAAAAAAAAATAAAAAAAATCCACCTTTTTCTCTTTGGCTGCCCTTTGATATTGAGCATTGATCAATCTCAATCATCTCTTTTGCATCACTTTCTCCCCATATTTTTCCCTCACTTTTCTCCAAATTCTAAAGCAAAAATGTGAAAGTAAAAAGAAGGAAAAATGACAAATTTTTCTCCATTCAGCGCCACATCCATTTTCCATTTTGACTCATCAATTTCATCATTCCTGCAAAACACTTGTATTCTCAGTGATAATGGCTTTAACCGGCCAAACAATCCTTTTTCCGCAAAATTCCTCAGTTTCACCAAATTCAAGAAAATAGAAAATCTAAATAAATGGGGTGCGTGAAATCAAAGAAAGAAAATATGCAAAGAACAGACAAATCAAAATTTTTTGCAAAATGGCTCCTTGGGTTGAAAAGAAAGAGGAAATGAAAGTGGAGGTGCTTTTGGATATATGTGCCAATTAGTTTGAATGCGGATGAAGAACTATACCAAAATACAGATTGGTAGCTATGAAAGAAAGGGGCTCTGAACATTATTCCTTGATAACATTTCTCTTTAAAAAAAAAAAGTGCTCAGATTTTTTCTTCAAATATACAACTAAGGGCCTTAAAATGTTTGCTGTAAAGATGAAGGATTAATTATTGAGAGCATTTAATGCCCATGTGTTCATAAATAGTATTGGTCATAAATGTTACAAAACATTATTAGTTTTTCTTTGTCATGTAACAACATGTTTCCAATTTTTAATTCCATGTTGAGGTTGCACTGAACATTTTATCTCTTTCAATAAAAAATTTATAAGCATTATTTGTGGCATTACTTTTCAAAGCCTAAAAGACATACTCACGAATTCTAAGTAAAAAGAAATATTGCCACATTAATTGTGATGAAATATAATTAGAAACCGAAAGTTATTCTTTTGAACTCCATAATAATCAGAGCTTCATTTTATGACCAATATTGATATGAGTTTTCAAATTATAATAATATATATTGCTATTATGGTATATTTAAAATTTGTTATTATGGAAAATTATGGATAATTATGAATTGACCCTTGTGATATGATAAGTATAGGTGGCGACATAGATCGGCCAGTGCGACTCTGCCGCCGGCCAGTTATACTTCAGAATAGCCGAAGAGTCAATGGTTGATCCAAATATTATGAACGATTATGTAAAATGGCTGAGTGCAGATACCGGCAACATGAAATATGATTAAAGACTTGAACAGTTAAATAAACTGGTCATTGTATTAATAGCCAGTGATATGGAACGGCCAGATGATAAGGCCATGTGCAACAAATAGTACATATAAAAGGATATTAATGGCTACATATACATGGGCCGGCCAGTACGGCTCTGCCGCCGGCGACGGGCAGTACAAATTAAGCAATAGCCGATGAGTGAAATGAATAATATTTTGTATCTGGCCATGTGAAAGTTGATAAAGTCCTGATCATGAAAGGACATTATATAGACTAATCTAAGGAAAAGCAGTGTATTAATATTGGAGAAACGATAAATTGATATGACGGTACCAGAAGTTACCACATGATTAATGTGATATCGAAAGTTACGACATAATGGTTAAATGATATCTGGTATATTGGTAATGGAAACTACCATGTTATGATGAAGAAATGGTACTAGAAGCTACCATTGGATGATTGTTCAAATTGAGAAAGTGGTATCAAAAGCTACCAGTTATGGGTGATCACACGAAATAATTTCTCAATATATTATATGAGTCTAAGGGACTATATCAGATCACATTGAGATTCGAGATCATATAGATATTACAATAAAGTGTTCCAGAAGAAGCACATATGGTAAATGATTGTAGTCATAAAGTACTACACGCTCATATTATGGAAAGTGAAATTGATATTATTAATGAGAAACAAGTATTAAAAGTTCATATGATGGAAATATGGAGAAGAGGCAGTACATACTCGGTAAATACGAGATACACAAATATTACATAATAGAACCCATAAAAGAAGGGTGCGTCTCGAGAGTATAAAACTCCATAACTCTGCCACCCATTATTGTTATATGGGTTCATAATGAGAGATCTAAAGGATCAAAAGCTCTTTTTCGTTTGACCCCTTGTGTTTCCACATAATCTTGAAATGTGATGCATTCTTGGAGCTTTTTAATAAGCTCACCAGACGTATCTGGAAATTTGAATACTTCTCTTGTTGTAGGAGATATAAAAGTTTGATATACTCCTTGGTTTAAAAATCCAAGCAAACCAGAAAAAAAGTTAATAAAATTCAATAGACCTATGGGCTTGTTATGAAGTTTCAATTCTGCCCAAGAAGCAAGGATGAACATTGTCATTAGCATTCCATAACCGCCTGGAAGAATGATAAATGCATCGCTCTTGTTCGCCATATCCATCATACAATCATGAATAGAATGAGTTAACATCATGCATATGGAATCCTTGACGACCCTTGTTGAAGCTCTATGAAAAGGTATGATACTTTTCACTTCTATCTCAAAATATTTTCCGGCCAATAAAAGATTATCAAAGAAAGTGATGCTAGTCCCTCCATACAGTAAAGTGATTTTTTGATTTCCCATATCCCTTACTAACTGACTCACAATATCAACATTTTGAGAAAAACTTACCAGTCTAGAACCACCAAGAACACATATGGTTTTGATCGGCTGAAGAAATTTATTACCTTGCGAAGGCTCTGAAACATCCATCTATTTATTGATAAACTTAATTTTTCAAAAGTTTGTGAGGCATATGATTATGATAAATGACTCGCTATTTAAATAGAAAGTTTTACAAAGCGATAAATAATTTTACTGTTTTCTTCTGACAATTGCAACTGACAGATAAGGTGTTGGGTTTTAAATATATCTTATCTGTCGGCAGCTATAAGATTCTCTGAAAATTACAGTGCAACTACTAAACTTCATTAGTATGATTTTTTTTTTCATACTAACAAATACTAGTTTTACAAACTTGATCTTTTGAAACAATATTTTCGAGACTATAACGTTCCTCTTCATTTTTGAAACGAATCCATAGAGACAGAAGCTCACGATGCACATACCCACTAGGATGTGTCTCAAGAATCTGGTGGATCGTTTGATCCATAGACTCCTTACTCAATCCATCCTTTATAAAAGCTATTTTATCTTCTCGATTTTTGGACACGAACCCCACAGATTTACATCGTGTGTCACAAGTCCATCGAGCACATTTGTAGCATCCACCTAATCGTTTTGCTCTTCGTTTCTTTGCAAAAGTACTCTTACCCATACCTGGCATATATTTGTATGAATTTGGAAACTCTCCCGACAATCGAACTTTTGCTTCAATCAACCATCGAATATCGCCTGGAATATGATTAATCATTAGCACCCTCAATCTTTCTATTCGAGACCGATAAATTCTTTTTATGATATTTACTGGAACAAATGGATAATATTTACGGATATTTGAGAGTGCTAAATCCATCTGTAAATTCGGACCTTTGTTCAGAAATATTGAATGGATTGACTGATAATTTATAGAAATGTTGCGTATACTATACGACTCTAAAAACAAAGAGTCTGTCTGACAGAAAGATTGATACGCATGTGATACGATTCTGAATTTAAAAATTGTGGGTCATAATCTGCACTTGAAGTGCATTTATTGTCGTCGAAAGATGATGTGATATGTTTAATGGGTCACAATGAATTATTGTGATGTTTACTGATATAAATGATGATAGTTTGAATGATTAATTGATTCTTTGTGATATGAGATACTTTGTTCTCGATTGGTGAAATTATTACTGGCTAAATATTTGTGAATCGATTTTTGATCAAACTGAGTATGAAAGGGGTACGATATATATATGGGCCCACTACTCCTCCATGTGTGCTACTAGATATTATGGATCCACTAGATAGCCATGTGTGATTTGTAACCTGAAGTTACGAGATGATTTGATCAAAGAATGTGTATATGACACGTAACCTGAAGTTACGAGATAGTTTGATCAAAGAATGACACAATATGGCTGTGAAAGAATGAAAATAAGTGTCATATGAAAGTGATGAAGCTAGTAATATAATCAGCTCATATGATGAACTCATGAAAAAAAAATGTGCACATTACAAGTGATATGAGTTCAAAGTCCTCCTATTATATGTTGAAATCGAGAACAAAATGGAGATTATATGAACTCCCCTCAAGAAACTCAATACTGAAAATACAGATCAATGATCTGTTAAGATAAGGGGGAGAATCAATTATTGAAATTTTGGAAATGATATATGCATCACACTGAAATGTGCAAATCATAAACTGAATGATACTGATGGTGGTTAAATATATGAAATGATATGATGGTGGAAAGATACGCTGGAAGCGTTGGTATTGTGCAAATTGAAATTCCCCAAATAAGTGATGAAATGAGACATATACATACTATCGATGAAATTAATTGATAAAGAGATATCTCAATATATTATGGGGAATAATGGGTATGAATATGTGTCGACACAAACAAATGAATAGCGCTATATAAATGATATTGACGAGAATGAAATCAACTGAAATATGAATATTGAAAACTATTGGCAGTAAGACCATTGAAATCAATTGATGATGAGAATGAGTTTGAAAATTGCACAAAACATGATATGGCACATTATCGTGAATAACCATCAGTTTCTGAAAATCTGAATGAATCTATATGATATTCATAAAAATTATGGAAATGTTATTATGATGAATATATGGGATACGCGTTGTACTCTTTTTTCCTTGGTTGAGGTTTTGTCCCATTGGATTTTCCTAGCAAGGTTTTTAATGAGGCAATAGGGATGGCGTATTCACATGAATAGTGTACTCTTTTTCCTTCATTAGAATTTTGTCCCACTGGGTTTTTCCTAATAAGGTTTTAACAAGGCATATTCATGGTATAATCAAGACTACTGAATAATTGATATGATTCCTCATTATGATGAGAAAACACTGGAGTAGTTGTACTTTTTTCCTTCGATCAAGTTTTTTCCCACTGGGTTTTCTTGACAAGGTTTTAACGAGGCAGCACGTGGATACTCCATTAAAGATGATCTATTTGAGGGGGAGCAATGTTGTACTTTCACAATACTCAGGTTTTGTCCCACCTGGTTTTCCTGAGGAAGCAATGTTATAATTTCAAGATGATCAGGTTTTGTCCCACCGGGTTTTCCTGAGGAGAAATGTTGAGATTCCACAATGATCAGGTTTTGTCCCACTGGGTTTTCCTGATATGCTGAAGCAACGGTACATGATGGCCACAAGATATACTTGAAGATGTGCAAATTAGACTTGTTCTAATCAGTTAAAATATGTTTAGAAATAGTCATTCAAGGGGGAGTGTTGTGAAATATTTATAAAATAATGTATGTGAATGACTATTTTGTCCCTGATATAATTATATTATTACGGTTGTGCCATCAGAAGTTTCCTATAAATAGGAGCTTCAGTTATAATGAAAATTGTACCTAAGAGAAACATTTTCTCTATTCTCTCTATTTTCTCTAGTTTTATAACATATACATAGAAATTGGGCATTTTAAAC